AGAACCAATAGATCCATTTCGGAAGAAGTGCATCCAGAGTGCTCCTTGGAGGTCAAGATGGCCAAACTTCGTGTCTCATACTTCAGACATACTGTCAGAGGGACCAGTTGCTGGAGAAGGATGTCAGGTTTGGTAAGGTGGAGGGAGGGTCAAAGAAAAGGAGAAAGACCCCCAGCGAGATGGATTGGCCAAGTGGCGTCATCGATGGACTCAAGCGTGGCAACAGTAGTGAGATTGGCCCAGGATCCGGCAGTGTTTCGTTCTGCTGTGCATAAGGTCACTATGAGTCAGTGCCAACTCGATGGCACCTAACAACAACAACAACAATATGTAGATGATACAATCTTGCTTGCTGAGAGTGAAGAGGACTTAAATACTTCCTGATGAGGATCAAAGACTATAGCATCTCAGCATAAAGAAAACAAAAATCTTCACCACTGGTCCAAGTAACATCACGATAAATGGAGAAAGGATTTAAGTCAAAAACTTCATTTTCCTTGGGTCCACTATCAACACTTATGGAAGCAGCAGTCAAGAAATCAAACAACGTATTGATTTAGGCAAATCTGCTGCACAAGACCTCTTTAAAGTGTTTAAGAGCAAAAGTGTCACTAAAGTGTACTTGACCAAGTCATAGGTATTTTCAATAGTCTCAGATGCATGTGAAACTTAGATACTGACTAAGGAAGACTGTAGAAGAATTGAATTGTTTGAGTTTCGGTGTTAGAGGAACTGCCAAAAGAACAAACAAATCTGTGTTGGAAGAAGTACACCCAGAATGATCCTTAGAAGGCAGAATGGACAGACTTCATCTCTTATACTTAGGACATATTATCAGAAGGGACCAGTCCCTGGAGAAGGACATCATGCTTGGTAAAATGGAGGGTCATGGAAAAAGAGGAAGACCCCCAATGAAATGGATTGACACATGCCAGCAGCCAGGGGTTTAACAACAACAACAACAACATTCTAAATGATTAAATGTTGTGTATTCTGATGGCGCTGTGGGCAGGACCGGGCAGGATTTTGTTGTGTTGCGGTGGGGTCACTGTGATGACTGAGTTAATTGTTAGAGCCACTCTGTCAACATATCCTGTTGGGTTGTCTTCCTCTTTTTCGATGTCCCTCTAGTGAATCAAGTATGATGTCCTTCTCCAGGGACTGATCCCTTCTGATGACCCGTCCAAAGTCATTGTCTTACCCACTCATAAAACAGCATCATTTTTGTGCTGTGGTTTTCCTTGAAAGAATGTTTTGAACGCATCATAGAAACAGCACTTTTCGAAGTTCATTTTGAAAACGTTTACAATCAAGGTGTCCACTAGCAATGGCCAGTACAAACACCATAAAAAGGACAAACCCAGCTGCCTCTTGGTAGCAGGATTTCTGGAAAGCTGTGGACTGCAAGGTCAATTTGAACTGCAGTTCAAACCCACCAGGCGCTCCTTGGAAACACTATAAAGGGTCACTATGAGTTGGAAGCTGACAGGATGGCACTTAATAACAACAGATAAAAAGGATAGCCTGGGAGGGGCCAGTGGAGATGAGCTGTGAGGGTCCCTATTTCAGGTGTGTATTGCTTTATGGTGTGTGAGATATGTCCATAGATTATCCACAAACTCTACAAAGTCAGACAGGTAAGAGCAACCCCACCTGACACCTGGGAGTACTGAGTCCCCTAAGACACCTTAGGAGAAAAGTGTGGCCTTCCTACTTCTCCTCCTGAAAAGTCAGTCCGCGGACCATCGGCCTGTATAGCCCAGTGTTACTCTGACACGTGGAGTCACTGTGAGTCAGCTGGACTCCATAGCAATTGGTTTGGTGTTGGCTGTTTCCGTCCAGTAGTCTGGCCAATGATACAGTGCAGCGCCATTCCGTGGTGCCCATCTCTAGAAATTTCCATGACATGGTGCAACTATCTTCACTATCTTCTGTGTCATGGACAATGGTGTTGCTATGCATGGTGTCCTTGGTATTTCTTGCTGGCCCTTGGAGACCCCTCCTAACTGTGCTCGTGTGGTTTTGTTTGGTTTTTCTGCCCCAGGAGCGTTTATGATCCCGTTTTTGATCCTGCTGGTGGTGGAGGGAATCCCACTGCTACACTTGGAGTTCGCCATTGGGCAGAGGCTGAGGAAGGGGAGCGTGGGTGTCTGGAGCTCCATCCACCCAGCCTTGAAGGGCGTAGGTGCGTAGCCATGGCGGGGCAGGGCAGAGACAAAAAGCCTCACTTTCCTTCCTTGTCCTTCCTTAACCATTTCCAGGAGATAAAACTCCCAGGGTTAGTGCCCCTTCCTGTCTTTCTAGAATATTCTGGGAGTGTGTGCAGTGTCTAGTCCAGGATCATTCCTGGTCACCAGTAATTGAGGCTACCAGGAGCCACACCGGGTCCTCTGGAGGCCCAGGGCATGGAGGGTTTCAGCACATGGTGCCCAAGCGCCCACCCACCACCCAGACAGGACACAAGTGCCATGGAGGTCTCGGGGAGGGGGTCATGCACTGCATCTGAAGGACCCCTCTGCTCCCCTCAGTGGGACAATGAGCACCATCCTATGCTCACTCAATTACAAACTCAGTAACCCAGCAGGGATCCCACACACAGCCTCCCCCAGAGGACATGGCTAGTGAGAGCCTCTGAGGGGGGCATGGGGAACCGTCTGCAGAGGGATGTTCAGGGATTCCTGGCCGCCTTCCAACTGAGACCTGGCCCAGGTGGACCCACGGCTGTTTATAACTCCCTCTGTTATTCTTCATGATTCCTCTGTCTGTCTGTCTGTCTCCTTTCTTTCTTTCTGGCTGTCTCTGTGTGTCCTTTGGTCTCTCTCTCTCTGCCTCTTCGTCTTATCTCTGGTCTCTCTGTCTCTGTCTCCCTTTGTGACTCTGTCTCTCTATCTCTCTGTCTCCTTCTGTCTCCCTATCTTGAACTCTGTCTCTCTGGATCTCTCTATCTCTGTGTGTGTGTCTCTCTCTCTGTCTGTATGTGTCTCTGTCTCTATCTTTCTGTCTGTCTGTCTCTATCTCTGTCTGTCTCTGTCTCTCTCTCTCTGCATCCCTCTCTGTTTCTGTCTCTGTTTCTCTGTCTCTATCTCTGTATCTGTTTCTCTGTGTCTCCCTGTCTCTGTCTCTCTCTGTCTCAGTCTCTTTCTATCACTATCTCTCTATCTCCCTTTGTGTCTCTGTTTCTTTCTGTCTCCCTATCTCTAGCTCTGTCTCTCTGGATCTCTCTGTCTCTGTGTGTGTGTCTCTTTCTGTCTCTCTGTTTCTCTGTCTTCATCTTTCTATTTGTCTCTATCTCTGTCTTTCTATGTCTCCCTGTTTCTCTGTCTCTATCTCTGTATCTGTCTCTGTGTGTGTGTCTCTGTCTTTGTCTCTCTCTGTCTTTGTGGGTCTCTCTATATCTGTCTCCCTAGCTGGACACTATGTCATAGTGACCCCTAACCCTACCACATCCCATGTTCTGAAAGCCTCAATTTCCCCAACAGCAAAGTGTTGAAGGCAGAACCATCCACTTGTGTGACTGTTCTCGGGGTGACTCTGGGGGTGTCTGCCTACACATACCCCTAAATCCCACTGTCCTCCTGCCCCATGAGCTCCTTGGTTGGGAGTGGAAGCCCTCCTCCCAGGCACAGAGGCAGGCACAGCACAGAGCGGGGAGCAGGCGACAGGTAGCACTGGGGGCCACAGCCCCATGACCTTGCTTCCCCCACAGGCATTGCCTCCATGTTTGTGTCCTTCATGGTGGGTCTCTACTACAACACCATCATCGCCTGGGTCATGTGGTACTTCTTCAACTCCTTCCAGGAACCCCTGCCGTGGAGTCAGTGTCCCCTCAATGAGAACCGGACAGGTGAGCCCAGACTGCCTCACACAACATACATGACCAACTCACTAACAAAGCCACTGGTGTAGAATTGACTCCAAGTCATAGAGACCCTGTGGGACCAAGCAGCGTCTCCCTGGGGGTTTTCTTAGCCATCAGGTATTTATTCCATGATGCCATCAACCTTTGGATCACTTCCCCTCACCGCCACAGAGTCAATCCAGACTCAGAGTGACCCTGTGGAGCAGAGTGGAACTGACCATGAAGGGTTCCGGTACGGTCATCTTTAGTGAAGCAGACAGCCTCTGGCCAGTAGACACCTACTGTTCTCAGGCTGATGGTTTTCACAAGTAGTGTGTGTGGGTGCAAGTACATGCCTGGGTATGCAGGTGTGCACAGACATGTTTGCATGCACACAGATACACATATACAGTGTGCATGGATGTGTTGCACTTGTGCCATGTGTGCATCTGTTGTTGCATGTGCATACATGCATGCTCACATGAGCACATCTGTGTTCACACCGATCTGCACTTTGCACACATGCATTGTGCATAATACAACGGGAATGTGCACATGTGTGCACACACATACACATGTGTGTGCAGATATATGTGCACGCACATGTGTGTGGGCACATGTGCATGCACAAATATGTTTGCTTGCACACAGATATGCATGTGTGGGGACTCATATATGCATGCATGGTGGTTGTGGTGGTAATTTTGTGCTGTTGACTCATAGCTATCCTGCATAGGGTTCCCGAAGCTGTAAATTTTTGTGGGAGCAGAAAGCCTCATCTTTCTCCCATGGAGATACTGGTAGATTCAAACTGCTTTGGAGTCCTGGTGTGGCGCTGTGGGTTAATGAGCCAGACTGCAAAGCCGTTTGAACTGCAAGGTCGGCAGTTCAAGCTCACCAGCTGCTCCTCGGAAACCCTATACAGGGTCGCTATGGGTCGGAACCAACTCGATGGCACTTCACAACAACAACCAGGGCTCCTTTGGGCATGCATACAATGTGTGCATGGTCCTTGTGCATCTGTACGCTCATGTGTGCATATGTGTAGGCATGAATGCAGGTGTGTGCGTGTGTGTGCATGAATTGTTTGTATTAATGTGTCCGTGTGTGCTCACATGTTCCTGTTATCACAGTCTCACAGCGGAGGGTCCCTGTAGCCGCCAACCTCCTTTCGTTGCTGGCGGCCTTTGTCGCCAGCCACTGAAGCGTGGCCACGGCTGTATCTCCCACCAGGCTACGTGGAGGAGTGTGCCCGGAGCTCCTCGGTGGACTACTACTGGTACCGAGAGACGCTGAACATCTCCAAGTCCATCGACGAGTCGGGCTCCATCCAGTGGTGGATCCTGCTCTGCTTGACGTGCGCCTGGAGCGTGCTCTACGTGTGCACGATCCGAGGCATTGAGACCACCGGGAAGGTAGGGTGCGCATTGTGCTGGGCCGGCCCTCCCCGAGTTGCAGGGGCTCCAAATGCAGAGGGGAGGCGAGGAGGCGCCCACACCTGCTCTAGACGCTGGCTGAAATACACTGAACCTGCCTCAGACCCCCACCCACCACCGGGGCCCACCCACCAGTTGCCCCCGCCCATGTACTAGCACTTGGCCTCTGTCTGGGAGGAGTCGGCCACACGGTTCCCCAGGACAGCAGGCCCAGGGACCTCGGTGCTGCCCCGGGCGGCTTCCAACCACAACGCTTTAAAACTGGGCCCAATATTGATCCAGAAAACTCTCTAATTGGAAGAGTTCAATTTTTAAAAGAAATGGGAGAAGTTAAATCTTCCCTGGAGTTCTGGTGTGGCGCTGTGGGTTAGTGCGTGGTACTGCAAGGTCGTTGTGAGTCACAAGGTCGGCGATTCACGCTCACCAGCCGCTCCTTGGAAACCCTCTACAGGGTCGCTATGGGTCAGAACCAACTCAACGGCACTTAACAACAACAACAACAATTCTTTCTGGGGAGCGTGGTGGATCTGCAGGATAAGCACGGGACTGTGAGCCCCAAGGTTGGCGGTTCGAGTCCACCAGCCGCTCCGTGAAAGAATGATGAGGCTTTCTGCTCCTGCTAAGATGTACAGCGTCCAAAACACAGCGCCGCTGTGAGTCGGGATCGACTCACCATCACCACCAACAATAAATAATAACATCTCTACATGAGAAACTCAAGTCGTATCAGGAGCTTCTCCCCGGGTGGGCTAGTCTGGGGAGACGCCAGGACTCTCGACTCCCCTCCCAGTATTATACCGTCCCCCGCAGGCTGTGTATGTCACATCCACGCTTCCTTACGTGGTCTTGACCATCTTCCTCATCCGAGGCTTGACCCTGAAGGGAGCCACCAACGGCATCGTCTTTCTCTTCACACCCAACGTGAGTCCCCACCTCAGCTCTGGAGGCTGAGCTCTGCCAGAGAGCCCCAGCACCCTCCTCTGTAACTGGGAGCATCCTACACCCTCCAGTCCCAGGGCTGAGGCTGTCAGCCACTGGGGGAGAGGCACAGGGCCAACAGGACCACTGACCCCTGGACCCTCAGGTGTGGTGTGACGTTGACCCCTCCTCACAGGGAAGCACCCCCTTCCACCCTTGGGGGCACTGTCATGACCACCCCACGCCACACCCACACTGACCTTGGCCTTAGCCCCCAGCCGGACCACAGAGAGGCCCACCCCTCATTGTGGACGGAGCAGGCAGTTTGTGGAGCTCCCAGACTGAGTGTCTGCTTGGTGCGCAGGTTACAGAGCTAGCTAACCCGGTCACCTGGCTGGACGCGGGGGCCCAGGTCTTCTATTCCTTCTCACTGGCGTTTGGGGGCCTCATCTCCTTCTCCAGCTATAACTCTGTACAGTGAGTATGTGGGGTGGAGCCCCTCGGGTGGAGCCCCGGGATGCCCAGTTTCCCTGTGGCTGTTTCCCAGTGTGGACTCTGCTGTGAGGATGAATCACAAGGAATTCTGAACATGACTGTTACCAGAGCCTTGGACTGCCCATCAGTCACGGTTTGGTGCCTCTGAACTACAGGGCTTGAGCCTGGGAGGAAGCACTGGGCCCCACAGGCTAAGGCACTCCTTCTTGTCCAAATCCGGGCAGGAGCTAGTCTCCCTCCTCCCTGATTCTCAGAGCACCCTGTAAGCCCCCAACAATCCACCAACACGCCAGGGTCCTCACAGATCACTGTTCTGCTCACAAACCTCCACTGCTTGCTAATTAATACTCACTCGAGAAAGTGCTCCACACCTTGTGGACACCACAAGAGAGGCAAGGTGCTAAGTGTTCACTGGGCACCTACTGTGTGAGGGTGGGTGTGATCTACGAGGGAGACACCCACCCTCACAGCCTCACCTCTGCTCCCCTCTAAGAGGGGGATCAGATGGCAGACCTCAAAAAGGGGGTAGACTGAAGGCTAGAAGAATCTCAGTCTGACTCCCTGCCACTGAAGATCAAGCCCCAGCTGGACCCACCCCTCCTTTGTACCCCCACAGAGACATCCAAGCTGCTAGGCTTTCCCAGTTCCGGTTCTGGGGGTTAAATTGCTCTCACTGTTTCATCAACAAGGCTACAGGGACTGGCCTGGGGGTTACAGGAGGGGTGTTAGCACTGGCGGATGGCAGTCCATGTGGCACAAAGCAGACCCCGGGGGTCTGCTGACTATAGGTGCCAGGACTCAGGGACATGCCCCCTGGACCCCTCAGAGTACCCAGTGCCCAGCCAATGTGACAGACAGGACAGGTCCAGCCTCCCTGCTCTGGGCCTGGGCTATCATGGCAACTCAGGGTCCCTGTCAGCCCCACCCCTTGTCCTTGCCCATGGGGTCACCCTGTGGGGCCATAGTGACACCGTCCTTGCCCTCAGCAACAACTGCGAGATGGATTCTGTGATTGTGTCCATCATCAATGGCTTCACATCCGTGTATGCAGCCACTGTGGTGTATTCGATCATCGGCTTCCGAGCCACAGAGCGTTACGACGAGTGCTTCGACATGTAAGCTGGCCCATCCGTGTGGGGGTCCTGAGTCCTCCAGATGGGTGCTGGGTCTGGGAGGAGCCTGGGGGTCCCAGGAAGAGCATCAGCTTTGTTCTTGCCCCAGGAACATCCTGACCCTCATGAACGGGTTCGACTTACCTGAAGGCAACGTGACGCAGGAAAACTTTGTAGAGATGCAGCGGTTCTGCAATGCCACAGACCCCGTGACCTACAGCCAGCTGAAGTTCCAAACCTGCGACATGAACTCCTTCCTCTCAGAGGTAAGTCTGGAGCCACAGTGAAGGGACCCCATGGGCAGGTACCTTCCAGAGTCTAGACCCTGGATTAAGGAGTATCTCAGTACCCAGCACTGTCGAATCAGAAATACCACGAGTGGGTGGCACCAAAAGGAGCCTGGTGGTGCTGTGGAATGACCTACTGACAGCAAGTTCGGTGGTTCAAACCCACCAACCACTGCTTGGGGGAAAGATGAGACTGTCTGCTCCCATAGAGATTTACAGTCTCAGAAACCCTATATAGGGTTGTGACGAGTTGAACAATAAATGAGGAAAACTGAAGGAGAGTTGATGCATTTGGGTTACGGTGTTAGTGAAAAGTACTGAAAATGCCATGGACCATCAGAAGAACAAACAAATCTGTGCTGGAAAAAGTACAGCCAGAATGCTCCTTAGAAACCAGGATGGTGGGACCTGGTCTCTCCTTTGGACATGTTGTCTGTAGGGACCAGTCACTGGAGAAGGGCATCATGCTTGATAAAGTAGAAGGTCCAGACAAAAGAGGAAGACCCCCAACAAGGGGCAGCAACAACGGGCTCAAAGCTAACAACTGTGAGATGGTGCAGAAGCCGACAGTGTTGTATTAAGGAATGTAACAACAACTTGACTTGGAATTGACTCAATGGCACTAAGTTTTAAGGTGACCTAAAAATAATTAAACCGTGGGAGGAGTGTTTGTAGCAAGGGTTATTGTTGGTATTAAGTGCCGTCAAGTTGATTCTGACCCATAGTGACCCTGTATAGGGTTTCCAAGGAGCCACTGGTGAGCTTGAACCACCAACCTGGCAGTTCAAACGACTTTGCAGTCACAGTTGCATAAATGAAAACAGTGTCCTAAAGGCAAACCAAAGGAGCTCTGGTAGTGTAGGGGTTACGAGTCAGGCTGCAAATCTCAAGGTCAGCAGTTCAAAACTACCAGCCATTCTGTAGGAGAAAGATGAGGCTTTCTGCTCCCAGAAAGATTTACAGCCTCGGAAACCCTATACAGGGTCACTATTAGTCACAGACAACTCCATGGCACATGACTAACACCACCAAAGGCAAACCAACTACAACGTCGGTGGTTCAAACTCACCAGCTGCTCCTTGGAAACACTGCACAGGGTCGCTTGAGTGAGAACCAACTTGACAGCACTTAACAACAACAAAGGCAAATGTAAGAAGTTCTGGTGACATGAACAGTTGAGTACCCCACTGCTAACTGAAAGATGTGGTTGTGGGTTTCCGTGAAGACCACGGCCTTGGAACCTGAGCTCCAGTTGAGTGCCCCACTGCTAACTGAAAGATGTGGTTATGGGTTTCCGTGAAGACCACGGCCTTGGAACCTAGGGAGCAGCTCTACTCTGAGCTCCAGTTGAGTGCCCCACTGCTAACTGAAAGATGTGGTTATGGGTTTCCGTGAAGACCATGGCCTTGGAACCTAGGGAGCAGCTCTACTCTGAGCTCCAGGCTCGGAAGCGACTCAACAGCATCAGGTAAATAGGCAGGTGGCTGTAACAAACAGCAAGACTCACTGACAACCTGCGACATGCACATGATACAACCTTACTTGCTGGAGCAAAGAGGATTTAAAGTATTTACTGATGACTATCAAAGACCACAGTCTTTGGTATGGATTGCATCTCAATGTAAAGAAAACAAAAATCCTCACCACTGGACCAATTAACAACATCTGTATCAATGAAGAAAAGATTGAAGTTGTTAAGACTTCATTTTGCCTGGATCCACTATCAACATTCATGCAAGCAGCAGTTAATAAATCAAATGACATATTGCATTAGGCAGATCTGCTGCACAAGACCTCTTTAAAGTGTTGAAGAACAAAGATGTCAATTTGAGGACTAAAATGCACCTGACCCAAGCCATGGCATTTTCAATCACCTCATATGCATGCGGATGTTGGACAATGAATAAGGAAGACCGCAGAAGAACTGATGCATTTGAGTTATGGTGTTGGAGGAGAATATTGAAAGTACCATGGACGGCCAGAAGAACAAACAAATCTGTGCTGGAAAAAGTACAACCAGAATGGTCTTTAGAAGCCAGGATGGCCAGACTTTATCATACTTCAGACATCTTATCAGAAAGGACCAGTCCCTGGAGAAGGACAACATGCTTGGTAAAGTGGAGGGTCAGAGGAAAAGAAGACCTCCAGGGAGATGGATTGGCACAGTGGCAGCAACAGTGGGCTCAAACCTAACAATTGTGAGGACGGTGCAGGACACTACAGTGTTTCATTCTGTGGTGTATAAGGTGGCTGTGAGTCAGAACCAACTGCATGGCCTCTAACACCAACAAGCAGCCGTCCTGGAGTTGCCGGGCTTGTGTACTCATCTGCCTGCATCCGCTTCTCACCGTGTGGGTCTTCCTCCCGTCTCTGTTCCTCATCTGCTCTTTTGCATCTCAAAAATGATGGACCTTAGACACAACCGAGTGTAGTGGTTATGAATCAGGCTGTGAACCTCAAGGTCAGGAGTTCAAAACTACCGGCTGTTCCACAGGAGAAAGATGAGGTTTTCTGCTCCCATAAAGATTTACAGACTTGGAAACCCTGTACAGGGTTGCTATGAGTCGCAACCGACTCCACGACGCGTAACCAACAACCACATAGTGAGTTATACATTGGGCTGCTAGTTACAAGGGCAGCAGTTCGAATCCACCAGCCACTCTGTGGGAGAAAGATGTGCCTTTCTGCTCCCATGAAGATTTACAGCCTCAGAAAGTCTGTCCAGGGTTGCTAGGAGTCGCTGTGAGTCAGACCAACTAGACAGTACAGAGTAACAGCGGCTCGCTGTTAAGACCACGTTAATGTAACAAAGAAAACCCTTCCCCCAAGAGAGTCTACATCTACGAGTCTCTGTCTTCCTCCATCCTCCACCACAGAGTGGATTTCAACTCACAGCAACCCCATAAGACAGAGGAGAACTCCTCCGTGGGCTTTCCAAGACTGGGCATCTTTGTGGAATCAGACAATTCGTCTTGCTCCTGAGAAGCGGCTGATGGGTTTGAACCACCGACCTTTCAGTTAGCAGCCTAACACTTAACCCACTGGAACACCAGGGCTCTTTATCTGCAGGTACAGCGGTTAGGATTACAATACCTATTTTGGGGGACACAATTCAGGCCATTTTCATTTCAAAAAAGCAGGATTGGTTTCAGGAGAAAGAGTCCCAGCTGCCCCCGCCCACGTGAAATGTCTCTTGTCTCTGCTCCTCCTGCCAAGACCCCCGGGGTACACAGAGGTGTCAGTCACAAGAAAACACAGCCACAGGCCCTTCTCCCTCGTGATCTCTCTACAAAACCATGAGAACCAACACAGCTGGGCTTTGGGGATGCTTGGCAGTCGGCTCCTGTTCTATTTGGGTCTGGCTGGTTCTCCTCACTGTCTCTGTGCATGAAAAATACCACCCACAAACCATCATCGAATGTCATGTATGCTCATGGCTTGAACTGTGAGTGGAGTCCCCATACCTTTACGGTTGACTCATTTTGATGCGACAGTACACCACGCCTTGAGTACCAATGAATGCTTTTCTCCTGTGTCAGCCTTCTCAGTGTGCAGTCTACCAACAGTGACTCCGGATAGCACCAGGCGAGGCAGTGTGAACTACGGGGAGACTTCAAAACATTCATGGAAATGGAATGAAAAGTTAATGGAATTTTCCCGAGAGCTTTATGAATTCTTTCTCACCGTCATTCTTGCTAATGATGATCAAAGCCAACAGGAAAGGATTTGAAGACAAGCAGTGTCTGAATTTCTCTGTTGTTGTTGTTAATGCCATTGAGTCTGTTCCCATTCATAATGACTCTATAGGGTTTCCAAGGAGGGTTTGAACCGCCGACTTTGCAGTTCAAACTGACCTTACTGTCCTGTGCTTCTCCTACAGCCCCACAGCAGGACGCCTTTTCTTTCTTTATGGGAGGTAGAATTATGTGCCATGAACTTCCGTTGTCAGAGTAGTTTGCTGAGCAAATGTACAAGGAGCTCTGGTAGTGTACTGGTTACGAGTCAGGCTGCTAACCTCAAGGTCAGCAGTTCAAATCTACCAGTCATTCCACGGGAAAAAAATGAAGCTTCTACTCCCATAAAGATTTACAGCCTCAGAATCCCTATGCAGGGTCGCTATGAGTCGGAACCAACTCCACGGCACATAACCACCCCCACCAGTAAATGTAGGGTCACCATTATCCATTACCCCAGTGGTCACCCCCCATGCTCCCCAACACCAGGTACCCATTAAGCTGCTTTGTGCCTCTATAGTTTCACCATTTCTAGAAATTGTCAATAAAATGAAGAGGGACCAGTGGTGGAATACTTACCTTCCATGCAGGAGACCTGGGCTCCTGTCTGTCCATCTGTCTGTCTTCCCAGGGCATGGAGGGCATGGGGGCTGGAGTTCATCCTGGGGTGACTCTGTGTCTGTTTGTCTGTCCCTGCAGGGTGTGGAGGGCATGGGGCTGGAGTTCAACCTGGAGTGACTCTGTCTGTCTGTCTGTCCCTGCAGGGTGTGGAGGGCACAGGGTTGGCCTTCATCGTCTTCACAGAGGCCATCACCAAGATGCCAGTGTCCCCGCTGTGGTCGGTTCTCTTCTTTATCATGCTCTTCTGCCTGGGCCTGTCTTCCATGTTCGGGAACATGGAGGGCGTGGTGGTGCCCCTGCAAGACCTCAAGATCCTCCCCCTCAAGTGGCCTAAGGAGCTGATCACAGGTGTGTGTGGCGGCTCTCGGCGGTGTGCTGGATGCTGGGCCCAGGGAGGAGAACATGGCCACATGGTCTTGGAGGACAGGATTCAGAGAAGACTTCCAGTGGAGGTTCTGAAGAGGAACCCAGAGGGCACGCTGCAGGCAGGGGGACTCCAGTACACACAGACACTAGGGGCTCTAGAGTGGACAGTGAGGGGCTGTGTCCTGGACCCAGGCGTGTGGACCCCACCATCCTGCCAGCTCTAATGGGGGCATCCTGGAGCACCCAGACAGGGTCCCTGGCCCATCAGTGATGTCAGAGAAAAGGACTGGATCAGGGAAATCAGCGTCATTCTATCCAGCTCCAGGGGACAAGGGACAAGTTGGGGATGCAGGGTCGGAAGGGGAGTGGGTTTGGGGAAGGGCATGTTGGTGGGGCAGCCCTGCAGGGTGGCAGGCACACAGGCGGGACAACAGGACTTTGGACGTGGTGTGAGTGCGGTGAGGTGAGGAGAGGCAGGGCAGTGAAGGATGGAGAGTGAGATGATCAGGGAGGACAGCGGTGGGCAGCAGCAGGGACTGGGGTCAGTGAGGAGCAGAATGAGGTGCATGCTTGTTTGTTTGGGGGCGGGGGTTGTGATGAAGATGAATGAGTCTGCTGTGGGCGTATGCTGGTTCAGGAGTGTTGGGGGCATGGGGAGAGGGACTGCGTACCCCACCTGTACCACATCAGCCCCCAAGATCACTCATACTAAGGGACACGTGAGCCTTAGGGATATTATTACTTGAATCAAAAACCAAGCCCTTACTCCAGAGCTGGCTACACTGTTGGAAATGTGACTTGATTTCCCCCAAAATCTCCCCTGCAGAGGCCATTCCCAGAGACAGGGCATGAAGTTCCCTGAAAGGCTTAGGCACCGCCTCCCTCCTTGCTGCTGGGGGCTGCTCTTGAAGGCATTTAAATCATTTGTATGGAACACAAACAAACTCATTCTTCCCAAACACTATTTGTTCTGTTTACTGTTTCATGAGATGGAATTTTTCAGTCCAAAGTTCTGCCGTCAACACAGACAGGACTAGGAAGAAACATGAAACCAGAAAGTTGCTCAGATGTGCAAATCCCAAAGATTCATGGGCTGGGGAGTCCCACAGCCCGGCCATAGTTCTGGTCCTGCTCTGGGACACCTCCGCCCTGCACCTCCATCTGCATGGGCCTACCTGTGCCCACTCAGGTAACCGCTCCTTGTCCACCCACAGGCCTGATCTGCCTGGGAACCTACCTCATCGCTTTCATCTTTACTCTGAACTCGGGCCAGTACTGGCTGTCCTTGCTGGACAGTTATGCCGGCTCCATCCCGCTTCTCATCATTGCATTCTGCGAAATGTTCGCTGTCGTCTATGTGTACGGTGTGGACAGGTAGGCGGGAAGGAGGCAGTGATGAGGGCAAGGAGCCACATCTTTGGGGTCGGGGGGACCACTGACATTCGAGGGCAGAGGAGGCACATGCCCAGTGCGGGACCTTCCATCGCTTGTAAGACACAAGGTGATGGAACCTCTTATGCTGGATCAGGGTATGGCAAATCCTCTAACCTCCTTACAGCTGATTGGATGATCACATCAGATGACATCATGGAGAATGCACACGTCATTATATAACTTGGCCTGACCCAGTTGACACATATTTTGGGGGCAGAACTCAATCCATGACAGGTTCTAAGCCAGGGCTTTGATAAGGACAATGAGATCTCGCACAATGCATTTACAAATGCAGGTTCTGGGTGGTGGTCACTTAGGACAGGTGGACTTCTACAGATGTCCATGGAAGAGATGGCTTCTGGCTGTAGTGACAGGGGAAATCTCCTCAGGGCAGGGGACATTCTTGCTGGCAAGGACAGTTGGAATTTGGGGCCGTGGAAGGAAGGGTGGTGCTTCAGGGCCACCCCACTTACTGGTCCAGGTGCCGGAGTGAGTGGACAAGCCTCCACCTTGATGCAGTAGAAGTCTGACTTTGTCCACAGGGTGACAGCTCCCATCTCTGACCTTGATTTTCAGGTTTAACAAGGACATAGAGTTCATGATCGGCCACAAACCCAACATCTTCTGGCAAGTCATGTGGAGAGTGGTCAGTCCGCTGCTCATGTTGGTCATCTTCCTGTTCTTCTTCGTGGTCAAGGTTAATGAGGAGCTGATCTACAGTGTCTGGGACCCAGACTATGTGAGTGCCAGGTGGTGGGCCTGGGGTTGGGGTGGGGACAGGGGAGAGAAGTGAGGCATCAGGAGGGTGTGGGGCACAGCCGGAGGCACACGGCTGTCACTGGGCTGAGGCGGCATTTTGCACTTCTCCCCATGTCCCACTTGTCCCTGATGTGCTGCTCACCCTTGTGTGGCTTCCTCTCCCACTCCTGCAGGCGGAATTTCCCAAATCACAGAAAACCACATACCCCAACTGGGTCTATGCCGTGGTGGTCATCGTGGCGGGAGTGCCCTGCCTCACCATCCCTGGCTTCGCCATCTACAAGCTCATCCGGAACCGCTGTCAGAAGCGCGGGGACCAACAGGGGCTGGTCAGTTCCCTGTCATCACCCTCGGTGAATGGAGACCTCAAGTACTGAATGCAGCGTGCAGCCCATGGGTGGGTGCATGGCCAGTGTGAAGAGGAAAGGTCCCTAGCAGGGCCTGCTGAGTGGCTGCCAGGCTGTATGTAAGTGTGTGAATCTCTGTGTGTGTGTGAACTGTCCATGTGTGCACCTACATGTGTGGTGTGTGCATGTGAATGTGTTTGGGGATGAAGCCTGCATGTGTGGTGTGCACGTATACCTCTATGTGATACACATGTGCTCACATATAGTGTCACATGCACATGAGGGTTGCCATATGTGTTGTCATGTTGTGCACACATGTACATGTGTGCAAGCATGCCATGTGTATGCTCATGTGTGGTCATGTGTGTATGTGCTCATGCCTGTATAATGTGAGTGTATGTTCGTGTGTTCTGTGTGTACATGTGTTTATGCATGTGTGGTGTGTGCTTGTGGTATGTGCTCTGTGTATGCATGAGTGTGCACATGTGTGGTGTGACTGTGTGCTTGTGTTATGCATTGTTCATGTTGTGCCTGTATGTGCACATGTGTGGTGTGACTTTGCTGTGTGTCTATGCATATGTTGTGTGTATGTGCACATGTGTACATGTATATGCATGTGTAGGTGTGGCTGCATGCTTTTGTGTTGTGCACTCTGTGTGCATTGGTGTGCACATGTGTGGTTGACTTTGCTGTGTGTGTATTCATGTGTTGTGTGGTGTCTGTTCATGTGTGTATGTACACATGTGTACACATATGTGTACACATGTGGTGTGACTGCATGTTTGTGTGCTGTGTGTGCCTGTGTGCACATTGTAGTGTGACTTTGCTGTGTGTGTATGCACGTGTTGTGTGCTGTGTGTGTGCGCACCAGTGTAGACATGTGTGTGCACATGTGTGCACTGTGTGCACTGTGTGGCATGACTGCGTGCTTGTGTGCTGTATGTGCATCTGTGTGTACATGTGTGGTGTGACTTTTCTGTGTGCATATGCATGTGTTGTGTGCACGTGTGTGTGTGCACACGTGTAGTGTGGTTGTGTGCATGTTGCGTATGTTGTGTGCTGTGCATATATATCCGTGCGTGTGCAAGTACATGTTGCCCGGTGGTGCACACACACGTCTTGGCCTCATCTCTGATGTGATGAGGACACAGCTGCCACCCCTAGAGAACACCTCTGGGGCCTGCTGAACCCCACGGAGCTCCAGGGGAAAGTCTAACACTGAAGCATAGGGAGGCACCACCTGCAGCATCTCATGTGAAGAAGACGTGGAGACTTCAAGATACGGGAGCACGTGCCTCCATCTCAGCTCTCTTTCCTGACCCTTGATCCCTGACCCCTGACCCTGACTGGTTATCCTCATCTAAGACTCCCACAGTAGCAGTCAGAACCCCCGTCTCCTATTGTGAGGACAAGCCCCCGAGGGCCTGTAGATCAGCAGTGGGTGGCCAGTCCAGAAAGTGTGGTGGCCTCTCAGGCCCTGGCTTAATGAATGCTCACAAATTTAATCATTGTTTTGCCACAGAGGCAGGTGAGCAGTTAAATCAAACAAATGTTGCATAATTGAAAGAAACAGACACTGCCCTCTGGATTTTGTGACGAGAACACCCAGTGTGTGAATTTTTAGCTCGATACTGGATAAGACGGTTGGTTATAAGGTAACCCAGTGCTGACCACATCGCCACCATGGCTCGGGCACACCACGCCTCCTTGTAATTTCACTTTGAAGCCAATGTCCACTTTGTGCCATTCTCTTGAGTTCATGGGTGGGTGGTTTTCTGGGTTTGATGTCCAACTCTGGCCAAAGTAAGTTAGCATTTGTGGCGTTTGCTTCAATGGACCACCTTCTCCACTTTGCACGGAAAACTCTAGAAGTGTAAATTAGACCAGACTTCCTGGACATTCTGATGGGCAGGGGTCAACGATTCTGGTGGAGAGTGAATCCCGGTGGTCCACGGTGCCGTGTACCCCTGCTTGGTGGTACCCCAATGACTCTTTCATGTTTTTCAATCATGGCCTGAACATATGGCCCCCACGCTCCAGTTTTCAGAGCCTTCCAGACACCCAGCAATGCCCCAGCCACCAGAAGCTTCCATCAAACCAGTGTGTCCTCCGACAGATACATACCACAGAGACAGATACATCCTGCAGAGACAGACTGCTGTTGGCCTCACAATCCCATGACTGTGATCCAGATGTACTTTGGTGGATAGCAGATGAGGGTTACCAGCATCCTTGCAGGAGGGCTCAGTGCAATCTGTGTCTTAGCTTCTCCCATTGGAAAAACAGACCAGGGCCCTATATGTGATGTGCCCGGGGGAGGAAGTAGGGGGAGGGGCAGTTCCCATGCTTACGTGTCTCCTAACGCATGCGTCGTTTTGTGCGCTTCTGCTTCTGTGTCAGCGGTCAGCACAGGGTGCCCTGTGGAATAAACCACTTCTGTTTCGTGATTCTGCTTGCACAGCCTCCTGGGGCCACACAGCATGCAGTGGTACAGACGCTTCAGGGCCCCAGGGAGCCAGAGAAGGAAATTGGCCCACACTGTGGGTGCTGCTTCAGCCCCATTGTCCCGTCTGGTTTGGGGAGTTCCTCTGAAGAAAATGCACTGCTGGTTCCCCATGACTTGTGTGTCCTGGGGGGCATGATGCCTTTCCACCTCATGAGACCTTGCATGGCCCTGCCTGGCCGGGTAGCCCTGGGCCTCCAGACAAGGCAAGTGCTGACTGAGAGCAGTTCAGGGCCAGGGGAAGGAGAGCCATGGAAACCCTTCTCAGAGCACCTCTCCTGGCCTCAAACCTCATTATTCCCCCCTGTCTCTGCCCTGACATCTTACTGATTGTCTCTTTTCTCACATTTTCTTCTCTTTTGAGAGAGTCTCCTTTAAATGTGCCCCATAGGTCCCACATTCCTGAGACTCACTCATAAAATCCTGTAAGTGTTTGGAATGGAGAGAGATGGCATCCCAGGAACACAAGACACAAAGAGGCAGAGGCCCTGGCCCGAGTCTAGTAGAAGGGTCTGGAAGGGATGAGTTCCATGCTTCCCGGGAAGAAGGCCCAGATGCAAGCTCACCCAGTGCCCTTGGCACTGACACACTCGATGTCCCTCTGTCTTCTCTCAGCACCCTGCTCGCAGAACCACCCCTTTCATTGGCCCTGAGGGGGCTCGTTGCTGCCCACCCCACAGTGGGGTACGACAAAGCCCCTATGCTGAATTGCCCCTATAAGTCCCATGAACCTACATGCCATGGATGTGGGGTGTCCCAAGGAGACAGCAGAGGATGCCAGTTTTCCCGCTGCTTCAGTGCCCCTACCCCCAAACTCACAGTCAAATCTCTGGCTGCAGTGACAGTGGAAGTAGTTGGGAGTGGGAATGAGGGTGTGGGAGAACAGCCAAGGCCACAATGAGGAGGTTCTCCACCTTAGGACCTCTCCCCTTCCCCCAGCTCCTCTGTGGTGGCTGATCCCACTCATGACACCAGATGCCAAGCTGGGAACCCACATGCACCCCTTGTGGTGTGCATTAGCGGGTGTTGGGGGGGCAGGCCTAACAAACCAGACAACTCTTCTGGAATCACTGAAACCCCTTTAAAGAGGGGCATTTAGAACCAGCTGGACACTTCAGAGTCCAGATGCTATGAGAATTTAGGGAATCCTTTTTAAAATAAATGGAAACACACCACTTCCACTCGACAGAACAACTTCACTCCACATCCCTCCCCGAGAAGCGGTGTGGCTGGTAGCATCACTCCTTGTAGCTGGAACCTGAAGGCAACCCAGTGTCCTTCAACAGACAAGTGTGACGGTATTGGCACTGTTGTTAGATGTTATTGAGTCACTTTCAACTCATAGCAACCCATGTGAAACAGAACGAAGCCCTGCCTGGTCCAACACCATCCTCACAACTGTTGTGGGGGCTGAGCCTATTGTTACTTACACTGTGCCAATCCATCTCATTGGGGGTCTTCCTCTTTTTCAATGACCCACCACTTCACCAGCATGATGTCCTTCTCCAGAGACTAGTCCACCCTGATAACATTTCTAAACTATGACAGAGGAAGTCTCTCCATTTCGGCTTGTAGGAAATATTGTGTTTTGTTTTTATTATGAATTGAGTGAACATTTATAGACAAGATCATCAGTTTTGTATTCAACAAATCATACACTTTGTTTCATCTCAGTGATTGCAATTCCTTCCGTGTGACAACAGTCATCCTGCTTCCTCCCAGTGGCTTCTATTGCCATTCCACCCACCTTCCCATCCTTCTCACCTTTGTCCTTAGGTACATGTTGACCTTCTGAGTTTGAATGATGGACCATTCAATCATTCATAGTGAGAATGCCTAACTAGTGTTGGTGTTTCCAACAAGTTTCAGAGTCTCTTCTCACACCCATCTTTTTTGTCTTCTTAATGACCTTTTGCTTTCTTCATGTACAATGTTCTTGATGCCATCCCACAACTCTTCTGGTCTTTGGTCCTTAGTGTCTAATGCATCAAATCTGTTCTTCAGATGATCTCTAAATTCAGGTCAGATATGTTCAAGGTCATATTTTGGTTCTCATTGGTTTGTTTTCATTTTCTTCAGCTTCATCCTGAACTTGCATATAAGCAACTGATGATCTGTTTCACAGTCTATCCCTGAAACCTTGTTTTGTCTGATGACATGGAGCTTTTCCACTGAGTTTTCCCACAAATGTAGTTAATTTGATGTCTGTGTATTCCATCTGTTTAGGTTCATGTGTATAGTCACCTTTTATACTGTTTAATAAAAAATGTGTTTGCAATGAAGAAGTCATTGTTCTTACAAAATTCTATCATGTGATCTCCAGCATCATTTCTATCACCAAAGTCATATTTTCCAACTATTGACCCTTCCACTTTGCTTCCAATCTTTGCATTCCAATCACCAGTAATGATCAACACATGATTGTCTGCTTGGTCAATTTCAGACTGAAGAAACTGGTAGAACTCTTCAATTTCATCATCACTAGCTTTAGTGGTTAGTGTTTAAATTTCAGTAATAGTGGTATTAA